GCTGCTCTGCTTATGGTTTGGCAGGTGTAGATTGACATTTCATATTCTTACTGCTATGGTCCTATGTGCTGCTCTGCTACTGGTTTGGCAGGTGTAGATTGACATTTCATATTCTTACGGAAAAGCCTAATGCGCTGCTCTGCCTATGGTTGTGCAGGTGTAGATTGACATTTCATATTCTTACGGAAAAGCCTAATGCGCTGCTCTGCTTATGGTTGTGCAGGTGTAGATTGACATTTCATATTCTTATGGAAAAGCCCCATGCGCTGCTCTGTTTATGGTTTGGCAGGTGTAGATTGACATTGCATGTTCTTACGGAAAAGTCCTATGTGCTGCTCTGCTTATGGTTTGGCAGGTGCAGATTGACATTGCATGTTCTTACGGAAAAATCCTATGTGCTGCTCTGCTTATGGTTTGGCAGGTGCAGATTGACATTTCATGTTCTTATGGAAAAATCCTATGTGCTGCTCTGCTTATGATTTGGCAGGTGTAGATTGACATTGCATGTTTTTACGGAAAATCAAACGAGCCGCTTGTGGTTTCAGAGGTAATTTCACACGTAACCTAGTAGCAATCAGGAGATGAGAAATAACATGTTGTTTAACGTAGGTTTTAAAGCGGAACACAGGTGATGTAGCTTTACTCCATTTGGAACAAATTTTTAGCTGCACATTTCGCAATCCGTTAGCTACAAAATGCTTACCATTGGTATTTTTAGTTGCAAATCAATAGGCTTAATTGATTGAAATAAAATTGATTGAGATAAGGTTCAGTTCAGATTTTTGAGACGAGTTCAACGTCAAAAGGACTGAACGGATCTACGCTCACAAATGTGTTCTTTATTTTTCTATTTTTAAATGTCATACCCCTAGTTTGGTTCCATTTTCTTCTAAGCCGGCTGTTATAATTTTTTGGATCGGTTAACTTATTTTAAGCTGGGTTGACATATGGCTGGCAGCAGCACCTTTCTGTTTAATGATTGCATTTTTTTATCTATCTAGTGAAAGTAATGATGCGTCTAAGTCATAGGTTTCTGCCAGCCACGACAGCTGCAGTTGTTACGATTTGATGCTAATGGCTATTAAAGCTAGCAACCATTCCTGGCTTTCGCTAAAGTTATATTTTCATCGTTGCTCGGCAGTTATGCAGCACAATAGTGTTTATTTCTGATAAAGTGGAGAAAAAATTGGAAACTGAAAAAAACTGGAAAAATTGCTGTAGATAAAACAAGTGTTATTTTTTTCAACTTTGCAATTTAATGGAAGTATAGTTAAATTCCCCCCAAAAGAACTTTTTAAAAGTAAAAAAATCCGCCAACCTCAAAAGCTATCATGCAAGAAAGTTGTAAAGTCAAACAAGTTGCTTTGTAAAGAAAAAAAAAGATGCTTTTTTTGTAACAAACAAAACATAATATGAAGCACAAAGATGATGCATTGATGTCTAAGAATACCTACCTCGGATTTAAGTTTTAGGCACACAAATCAATAAAATAATTTATATTTCGCGTATCAACTTCTTAAAAATACATGCTAGGTTGATTTTTGTTTTTAATTTAAGTTTCTTTCCTATAACAACTTCACGGTTTAAATTTGGCGCTCGAATTTAAACAATATTTGCATTCTAAATTTCAATTAATTTACGTATGTTTTTACGATTCATAGGTGTGCATGTAGGTTTCTTTAACTAAAGGTTACAGTTATGAAGATAATTTAAGTTAAATTAGTGTCATTTCATAATTTTTATTTTTACAAACGAATTAAATACCTACTATTTACAAATACTTTATAAAACTTTTTACAAATCGACATTTGCTGCTTTTTCAAGTATAAAAGTATTTTTAAATAGAAAAATTTTTAACGTTTAAATAAAGTTGTCGTAAAAAAATTGAGCTTAATGAAGGACCTCAAATACTTCTAGAATGTTTGTTATTGAATTTTTATGAAAGGTCTTCTAATTGCAAGAAACTTGTTTGTTTCGATAAGGGTCTTATTCGAATGGTATTTATTAAAAGTTTTTTTTTGTAGGGAATTTGAACCACCCTCAAACCGCAAAATTATTATATGAGTGAAACTTACATTTAAAACGAGGTATTTTTAAGCAGCTTATCTCCAGAAATAAATTATTAAGGGATTTGTTGGTCTAAAACTTAAATCCATAGTTGACATTCCTACGCATCATTTCTTTTTTATCCTTTTGTTTGTTATAAAAGAAATTTACTTTTTTCTTTACTTGTAAGAAATGAAATTTTTTTTGTATCATAATTTTTCAGGTTGGCGCATTTTTTTTTTACAGTTTCAAAGTTTAGTAATCTAAGTTTTTTTAAAGTTATCGATAAAGATGCATGCTATGATCCAACGCCCACTAAAAGTCACAATGGGTTACCTGCTAGTGACGTAGTGCAGGTATCTCGATCCTGATTGGTTGTTAAAAAGTGGCATTTGTTTACGTTAGCTGTTGTTCTTTTCATTCTATTTCTAATAAGCCAAACCCGTCAAATATCAATTCTTTTAAGTGACACATTCTATATTCTTTCACAAAGATTTCAATTCTTTCACTATATATTTATTATTTAACACATAGACAGACACGAAGAAGTGTAGAACATAAATAAACTAATTATGCATCGAAGTTGCCAGGCACATAAAACAAAAATCTATCAAGGCTGCAATAATACACATAAACAAATAATAAATCTAAGTTAAGTAAAAGACGTAGACGGGAAAGAAATATATTTAAACAAATTTGATGTGTGATACAGGAGCTGTATTTAATTAACTTCACGTTAATTAACATTCTAACTAATATGGAGAAATGTAGCTAAACTTTAACCCGCCATTTTGCTTATAAACGATCAACTGGGGCTCAGGGGATAAGCGCGTTCGCTTTCCAATGAGGCGAACCGGGTTCGAATCCCAGTCGATATGAATACCGCATCTGGCTTGCACCAACGACAGTGCTGACGTGAAATATCCTCAGTGGTAGACAGTTCATGGGTTAGAGTCCCCCTGCCGTCAGGCTAACCGTGGGAGGTTCTCGTGGTCTTCCTCTCCATGTAACGCAAATGCGGGTTAGTTCCATTAAGAAGTCCTCCACGAAGGCAAATTTCTCCCAATACTTGATCCAGGAGTTCCCTTGTCTTCTAGATTTCGTTCAAAATTACAAGGTTACGGAATTGAACATTAGTAGTCGTAAACCCATAAAATTGGGTCGGCTATTCAACGACGGTTATAAAAGAAAGAAGAAAAAAAAACGATCAAC